CCCCCCCCCCCCCCCACGCCTTTTTTTCTCCGTGTGGGCATGTCCCTAAACCCGATTTCCGCAATAGTTCCCCTTTTCTCCATTTAAGCGTATAGTAAGTTTAGTACGGTAGACCGAAAATACCCCCCCCCCCACACAAAAAAAGGGTGCCGCCCCATCTCCCTATGCCAGTGTTGAATCAACTCAATATGTAACCAAACCTTCTCCACGTACTTAGTAGATTAAATATCGCATAGGCCACCTGCTGCTCTGTTATCGTGTAGCTGATTTCAGAAAAGAAGATGTTTAAGAATATGAAGTTTTCACTGCAAGAGAAAGAATTACATTTTTTTATTGACAAAGTCTGGGTTTTTTTTTTTGTGTTTTTAATGAATCATATTCACTGGTTATGCTGTGGTTACAAATGGTTGTATTTTGATTTGTTTTCTAGGGCCAAAGGGGGAATCTTACGAATCCATTCTTTTGTTTCCTGGATGCTTTTGTCTTGTAAAAATAATTCCTTTTAAGTGAATATAATTTAATGCACTTCAAGAATAATATTCTAGTACTTGTAATGATAATGATAATTACTAAAGTAAATTAAATAATTTTTTTTAAAATCTCATCTCATCAATGATAAGTATACTATTTTTTTATGGTTTCCAAAACCGGACAACCAGATATTTTAGCAGATTTTTAGGGAAAAATTCGAATTAATAAATACCAGACCTATATTATACTCTTGGAGTCCCCACCCACCCCTGCCTAATCTCAAAACCATGTCGTTGTTTTTCCAAACATAGTCATTCTCCTCGAATTTTGCTGACACTTCCGGTAAGCGTTGCAACTGGAGAAAATGTTTTTCAAAACTTAAATTAATGAAAATATATTTAAGATCATCTATGATTTTGGAAAAAATTAATATCTTTGGCTATTCTATCTATTGAAAATGCTGTTACCAGTCGACTGGATTATGGAAATGTTATTAATGCTAACAAAAAAACACGAAAATATTTCTTTTGCAACAGTATCCTAGTTTTGTTGCTAATTATATCTTTTTAAAATTCAAAATGTTTATAGTAACTGCTTGCTGAAAGTCGGAATTTGTATCCACTTATTTTTACGATGTTTCAATAAAAAAAACAACATTTTATTTTAAAACAGATACGTTTATATTTTATATCTTAAATCTAAGAAGTATTCATGATTCATTGTGTATACTTATTTGTCTGATTAAGG